TGACAAAAGGAAGATTTTATTAATTAATTCATTAATACACGATAACAGTCCGAGTTATTTCAGTCTGGTGAATTCCTTTCCCATCTTGATGGCAATCTCAGAAATAATTTAACTCGGGTGCCGCACGAATATTACTTGACAGTGACATTCATTGACATTTTGGACCGGGCTTCCGAGGGGATGATAGACGCCCAGTCTGAACGATTCTCTCGTATGCTAGGTAGAGAACATTCTAATTGTTACGTGCACGAATGACCAACAAATGTCCGCTAACAAAGCATATATGAAAATAGACTCCCGAGTACGATATATGGCACGCAACAAAAATGTAACAACAAGCAGTTACCCATTTTAACTATTATTTAATTAGTTTTACATTGTCTAATTTACTTAGGTTAAAGATTAAGTTAAGCAGTTCATAAAGCAGGCTTACAATCCTTCATGCCGTGTAAGTGTTCGTCGTCTTGATCAACTTCCAATTCCAACATCCGCCGACTGAAGACCACAGCGCTTGGCTTTCTTGATTTATCGCATTCTTTCCTTGTACACAAACTCTTCCGGAGGACTCCATAGTAAACTCTGTATTCTCTATCTTCTTCCTCTCTCGACTATCGTCTTTTTCATCTCTTTCTTCTCTCCGGATATCGCAAGGTCAAAAGGTCATAGCCTCGTCATATCATAGCTTCCAAAAGTTCAGTCAGCAAGCCACGAGGGTAAGCCCTCGGGCAAATCTCTTTTGTACTTCTCACAAGCCAGCTTTTATACATTTACTTTAGTTATCTAGAATGTTCTATTACTATTTATAGCGTATTACAAGTTGTACTATTTTTGGAAACTGCTGAGTCACATGAAAGAAGTTTCTGGAATATTGCAGATTATAGATAATTCTAGAAAAGTCTGGGATTGCGTGACAGATTCAGTGAAAATAATTCGATCCTCGTAACAATTTCGCGTCAAAACAATGTGCCTTTCAGCCGTCGCATAGTTAACTATCCCGCGCACATATTATTTCCTAGGCAAACATTAACCAGAGAAACAAAAAACAATGTATGCGCATAAGTTAGCTATTTCCTTGGACTTTGCGCATATACTTTTTCTGACTTAGTTAGCAGTGGGCTCTTTCTTGTTGAGCCGTTCAGCGTACATTTTCAGCGGTTTCAAATTGAAAATGTAAATCTGACATGCGCGAACTAAATTTCCACTGGTGGGCGTTTTGAAATATATCTGGGTAGGATCATAATGGGCGCCCAACATAGCATACGTTTTCCTTTATATTATGAGAGTCTTAATGTGGTAAACCTTTAGCCATAAACGGCAAAAAGTTTAGATGTTAGGGGTAAAAAATTGACAAATTTTAACCGTTCGTCTAAAAACAAAGGAAACCATGAAAATGTGATTTAAATTTTTTGTTTAAACTAAATTTTGTAGCTGTAAAAGCCGTCACCTCTGTGAAACCCCTTTTATTTAACCAGAGATATATCAGATGTGCATGGGTTACGGGGTTACGTACAAAAACCCCTTGCAACTTTTTAAAAAAAAAATTTGATAATGCGTAATAAGTTTTAAAAACGAACTCTTATTCATCTTTTAACGCTATATTTCTAGTTAATCATTTATTTAGTACTCATCTATTGGTCGATTGAAGAAAATAAAATTATATGACAAAGTCTACCGGTATGGTTAAAGTTTAAAACTGTTGACCGCATCCTTTTTCATGGAAAATATGATACGTGATACCATTACTGTTCTCTAGACATACAAAGCGAAAGCAAAAGCTGGAACTGCTGACTTGTCTACTGGTTTGGTTACCATGGATTCCACAAATCCTCCAAGAAAATCCACGAAATTAAATTTTATCATTCGTGTATAATATTGTCGATTGTTTTGAATAAAAGCACAATCAACACAGATTTATTGATTTTCTTTGTAATCTTTTGGTTTATTGTCGACAGAATTTAGAGTTAAGCTTAGTCCGCCATGTTGTTCTTGTGGAGAACATCTGGTTTGCGCCATTACTGCTGTTTTTTCCGATTGATGCTTGTTGTCTCAATTTCTCTTCTAATCGGCATTTTTGTTTTCAATATCCTTCTCGTAAATCAACGTCCAAGATTTGTGGAAAAAGATGAAAAAGGTGTGATCCCAGAAAATTTAGACAAAACTCCAAAGTTCTTCGAAGACAAAAGTGAAAAAATTCCAGTCTTCGCACAACCAAAGAAGAAGAAGAAGCGACAAAATCTGATAATTGTGGCACATGGTCGATCGGGGTCCACGTTTCTGGGAAACATTTTCAACAATCACCCATCAGTATTTTATCTATTTGAGCCTTACAAGATATTAGTGCTGTTGTGAATTATATTTTATAACCAGGCATTTACCGATTTTTTTAGAGTATTTGTAGGTAAAATGTTACACTTTGTAAAATGCATTCTAAACATGTGCTTGAGCTTCTTGTCTCCAGGTGATGACAAAACTCGTTTGCTATCATAAGTTTAGGGCAGAGAATGCATGATTTCCTTGTAATTGTGACTTTCCTCTCTTTCCCAACATTTTATGAACTTAAAAATTCTATTTACAGGTTATTTCATGTGAGCTTAGGTAGATTTATCTACATTGCCATGCAGCAGCTAGATAATGCAGCAGCTTCTATTGTTACACCAAACAAGGGGGTGCCCTCATTTTGAATAGTAAAAGATAAAGACGGGCTGATACGTTAAGTAAATAATCAACACTGAATAGCAAGAAGTAACAGTGCCTTCTGTAAATCATAGCATTCAAAATTGTGTCTAAGACAGTAATCAGTGTTCAAGTATCCCTTCCACTCTCAAGATCCAACTTGCAACTCTCCCCTCTGACCACTATACATTTCCTTGTTGATTAAAAGGGAGAGTTTGGTGTTAAATCATGGTTTCCCCAGCTCCCCAGGCCACCATTAATTTCTGTAGGATTTTAAGACTGAAAATTAAAAGATTTAGGTCCAAAAAGAAATTGTACATTAAGACCTTTTATTCCATGGATACGTTTTTTTGACACATGCTCTTTCTTGTTGTGTTTGAGAAATATTCTATGAGTAACCATACCCTTCCCCCACCCCAAGGAGAAACAGAAGGTGGGGGTATGGCTACACATAGGATACATGAAAACATAGTTTCTTCNCCTTTATCATTGCGTATCAATTTATCACAGCTGGGTAATAAGCTGTAACTTGATTACTGCTGTATATTTGTTAAAGAACAATTTACAGCAATATGTGAGGGTAAAACTGAAAAAGACCATTCTCAAAGACACTGGTTGATGTTTTTAAAATCTTAAAAGCTTAATAGGAGTCTTTGTCACAGTCAAGTGGAGAGTCTCATGTCAATCAAATTTCACAGTCTTTAAAAGTGATCGGCTTTCACCCTGGAATAAAAGTGATTGGCTGTCACCCTTTGCTCCGACAAAGGGCTAACGCTCAAAACGTCAGCTTTTGTAATCGTTACGGTGGCCAATTTACCATTTCAACTTTGTTGATATAATTATCCAAATTATTTCATTACTCCCACCGACGCAGCCCCAAACAGTTTCTTTCTAAACTATCAGCCTTCACCCTGGAATATACTTGAGTCTAACAGCCAATCATGTCACTGAAAATCAGTTTCACAGCCTGACCAATCATTTTAAGAAAAACGAATTGCAAGAATTAGCAGACAAGCCCCGCATGAACTCATGTTGACTTTCATTCTATGACAGCTATCACTTGTTTTGCAGAGTTTGCCAGGACTTGACAAGACTTTGTCTCAGGAGAACCACTTTTAGTCTTGTGCACCACAAGCAAGAACATGAAAAGTGTGAAATTTGTTAGTTCATGCTTGCAACATTGCCCTTTAGAAATGGAGTGACCATTGACAATTTCCAAACCACCTCAAAAGATACCATACCTTGAGCATTGTCTTACAAGTCATTTTACTCACCCCCACTGACTCCCTTTATTCGTGGCGCTATCCCAGTATGTACAACATCGCGCTGCGTCTTAAGATATACATCATTTTTGTTTGTTCTTTCCTGAGTCAATTTTGCAATCGGTTCCCTATTCCATCCTCGCTGACAAATGTCTCAGAAAAATTAACTTCGTATAAATTTGTTTGGTCACGATATGAAATATTGTTGGTCTGCAGTTTTTGGGGGTCAGGAGACACAAACACGTTAATGAAAATATAATTACCCGCCATAAATCCTTCCAGGTATATGTCGCTTGCATAAGATCCTAGTTAACCACATGGCTGATAAAATATCACAAAAGTCTTGTCTCAATCCCCTCAAGGAAAACAATTTAGCTTCCAGCCCTACTCGCTAAGGAAGACTGGGTCTAGATTTTTACTGTTTCGTGTAAGAATTCGCAAACTATACACATTACATGACCATTATACAACAGCTTGATAACTAAGTTATGAAATGGCGACCACAGCAGTCAGAGAGGTAGCAGTTTGTTCCACATTATTACGACAATGCTGTTCTCACTGGAAAGGTTTCCCTCAAATCAACAGTTTAAACAGTGCTTCTGTAATTTCAGGTATGAAACAATCTGCGTTCAAACTCTGAAATATGTTGATCTGTCGTATAATTCGCGAAGTCCCTACACGCAAATATTTCTGTGAGCTACACACGACAGAAATCATTATGACATTAAGGTTAAATTAAAGATGCCCAGCCTTTTTTAATTTCTCTCGGTTAATCCTCGTGGTATAGGGATTCAAGCTGTGCAATGATGCTAAGAGTCGCTGTTTTTCGTGTTGGAGATATACTGTAGATTGTTAGAGTATAACCTTCATGTTGCACGTGTATTATTTTAGGTGCGCACGGGTTACTGACTCTGATATTACAGTGCTTTTCGACAGAATACCCGAAGTCAACATTGAATACTTCTTTGACTTAAAAAAACTAGATGCAATGTTGTGTTCAAAAGAAGCAAGTTGACTTGTGTTCAATAGCAATGCCGCAGCCACACGTAATGAGAATCTCTAGTCTAGGAAAACAATTCCTTTGGAACATAGCATTGACATCTCAATTTTGTTTCCAAGAGGGAGTGCTATGCAAAAGCTATTATCTATTCAATTCCTAATATCTGGTTGTGTATCTTCCTTTCTGGAGTTGCACACTTACTTTTGTTGGGCTGGTGCAGAGAATTTCTATTCTATGAACTGACGGTTATTTTCCTTTTTGATAATTTCCTTCATTCTCATCACCCACTTGCTTGACAAGGTGTTAAAATAACAGGGAGAATTTCCATACTGATCATTCCTTGTAGAATCAATAATAATTAACTTGTAAGGTTGCTTAAAGAATATGAAGTATTTTTGAAATTTACAGACCTTTGTTAAGCAATTACAGTTATCTTGCTTGAGTCATAATAATCAATTTGATGTGTTTANACACTGTTGTCATTCAATTTTAGGTAGTTGTACAAGAGAAATGGAAATAATGTTTCATTTTCTCTGACATATTGGTATTAATCATGTCATTTTTGGAATACGTTTTTCAGGAGTCACAGCTTCATCGTTATATATTGTTGATCACCTGTGTAACACATACCCCTCCCTACCCTGCATAGGAGTAAGGTAAATATTTTTTCACATATACTGTAAGTTCTGTTATGTCGCCATTGGATTTCCACGATGAAAGTAGTAAATCATATATTAAGCTTCTGATATATAATACATGTATATGATATTGTGTTTGGGGGAATATTTTAGGGCACAGCTTAAGATATTAAGGGTGAAAGTTTCTAAAGAAACTGTGGTGCTGTGTCGGTGAGGGTAAAAAGATAATTTGGTTATATCAACTAAATTGAAATTGTAAATTGGCCACTGTAACAAGTAAGAAAGCTGATGTTTCGAGCGTTAGCCCTTCGTCAGAGGAACAGCTTGTTTTGTGCTTAGTTTCATGTAAAATTTTGGTGTTAAGCTCCAGAGGGTGATACTGTCCCAAAAATCTGAAATTTAAAGCAATTTTACTGAACTTTGGTCATTACCTTAGATGTCAATTTTACCAGAACTCTCCAATGTTTTTGAAATTAGACATAGCAGGAAAATAATTTATTTTAACAAACCCAAGATAAGTGAAAAGGTAATTTTTCATCTCCACTGCCATGTCTATCTTACAACTCTAATATACAGATGAAATATATGTGTTTCTACATTAAGTATTGAAGGATCTAAAATTGATTTTGCAATGACATCCTCTCACAGGCTATTACTTTCCCATCTTGGATCCAAAATCTCTGTTCCACAATTTTACAAACCCGCTGGAAACTACATGCAACAAAACTGTCTTATTATTATTAACTTCAAACTGCCATCCCTTGTACAGATGTCTTCATGATTTTTTGATGAGCAGAAACACCATTGTGAAGTTATCAAAGCTTATAACATTACCAGACCTGATCAGACTGGAGGTAAATGATAAACAGTGTAGATTTTTTACTGATTCATATAATTATTGTTTTCAGTTTTGTTTTAATTACTTAAAACTTCAATATGTGTTCATTTGAAAGTTACCTTTTCTCCTTTATTTTCCTTTTTCTAACCTTCTAACCACAAGGAAAATTATATATTTAATCAAGCTTGATTTTAGTCTTTCAGTTCAACCATGATGTAATTATTAAATAGACAATTTAATTGAGGCCTTAATGCACTGTTATCTTTTTCATTCTGAGCTTGTGTGCCAATCTATGACGTCATTAGGGAGTAAAAAGAAAATATTCCATGTGTGATTATTTTATATGCATGTGGTTTAAAGGAGGAATGTGCATCAGAAGTTAATGCACATAATTTTTATCTTTGCCAACTTTGAGATTCTGAATATGTCTGTGCCACTTTTGGTATGTAAAATCATGATTTTTAGCTTTTATGATGTTGAGTGTTTGATAATTCTTTCAGTTTTTTTTTTTTTTCTTCCTTTTTTTTCTCCATTACATAGCATGATTTAGATGAACTTTCCAAAGAGAAACATCTGGATTATCGACCTGAGGATGTAATTTGTGACGCATTCTTTGCATTTATTGGTGCAATTTATATTGATCAGGTAAACTGATAAGTAAAAACCAATGATATATTATAAATAGTGGTTCTAGTGTAACTTTCTCTTATATTTTCACCTTTAAGTCATGCAGTTACCAATCATCCCAAATTTGTTGCACAGAAATTCATTATTTCTGATCTCTATTCCAAATAA